TATATATATATATATATATATATATATATATATATATATATAATTGTTGATGGAAACAATATGAAAGAAAATACTTTGGGTATCTCTGAATTTTTTTTGATGGAATCAAGAGAGGATGAGAAAAAATATATGAATTTTTTTTCAAAAAAATTATGGGATAGAGTATATGAGGGGGGGTTTGAGTTGAGGTTAACTTAATATCCTTATAGTTTTATATGGTAAAGAATTTAGATATAGAAAACGATATCGAATCACATGAATCATAATTAACTTTCTGATATATATTTCTTAATTGCTAAGTTTTGAGACGACAAATTAAGGAATCGGAATAGGAAAGTGAAACAAATTCAATGAACTTCTTTTTGTGCGTGCGTTTTTAATGAATTAAGGAATAAAAATCGTAGTTGCGACAATCTCAACTTGTCTATTCATCGGAGACACAACGCGTGGATCTGTCTGTCAAAGTTCTCTCTTTATCTTTTCGAGATGCTGGAAGACATGAACCGTGGCCAACAGGTGCTTTTGGTGCTTGATCGAGGGAACATGCAAATTATAGCTGGTGACATTATTGTCGTGATCGTCCCATACTTGATCACCTCAATACGTCAAATATTTAGTTCGGTCAACAATAGTAAAGAATCAACAATCAACTCGATCGAGCCTCAGTTCAACTAATCTGATCCGAGGATTAATAATATCTTTAAAAGATTCCTTATAAGATAAACAAAATAAAATGATAAGAGCATAACTGATATATTGAGATGATAGGAGAGTATTTTCGATAAAAATTGGAAGTATTAAGGATATCTTAGTAAGTAAACTCGAGGGTCCAATTTGTTGTTATTTGGATTCCATGAGCCATTCCGTTCCGGATGTTATAACTGTAAATGAAGCCAATTATACCCACCGATGGATGTAGGAAGCTGAGAGAACGCGTTGCATGGAACTCAAGTAACTAATGAACACAGCACGTCGGTGTGTTTCACGTTCGATAACATGCTTCGGATTAGCATTTGGCTCGGGAGGAGGAGGATGAAGGCGGCAAGTACGTTTGCGTCATGGTAAGTAGTGATTTGCGGAAAATGCCCGTCGTGATCTTATCATGTCGAGGAAAACAAGGGAAAAAGAGGAGCACACAGGCAACCATTAGAGAAGCAAATTCCAACATCCCTTTCATTTCTTAATTCCATGGTGGTCTGTGCCTCTTACCTGCCCAACTCAGTGCACGCTTAAAGAAAACACTACTTTTATCTCCTAAATAAAAGCATGGCTTTCTCCAACTCATAGCTTATGTGTTGCCAGCAGTCCGTCTCCTTCCTTGCACTTGTATATAAAGATAGAGCAACGCTTACCATTATCTCATCTATCTCTGAATCAACAGCCTGAGGCTCAACTAAGAAAGACATGGAGGACTTCCCCCAGGCTATCCTACACCGTAGTAGAAGGCGACGAACGCGGGCGTCGAGCGAGTACCTTGGAGTCCGTCGCAGACCGTGGGGGCGCTACGCCGCTGAGATCCGGAACCCTTACACCAAGGAGAGGCATTGGCTAGGCACCTTCGACACTGCAGAGGAAGCTGCACTCGCCTACGACCTCTCCTCTATTTCCTTCTGTGGGCCAGCAAGAGCTCGGACGAACTTCCGCTACCCTTTCCTGCCCGCTCCATCGCCGCCACCTCCGCCACCGCCACCGCCTCCATCGCCCTTGTCCGAGGAGACGAATGTGTGCTACTTCGAGGTGGATTCCACGGGCGATGATGACTCCATGACCATTGCTGTCATCCTGCAGAGTTTTCGACAGTCTACGTCCCTCTCTTCCTCCTCTCTTCTCTTCTGAGATCGGATATGGCCGCCATAATCGGAATAAGATAGTTATGAGGAAGTAGAAACTGAGGTGAGTCAATGGTCAGTGAGATGACCAGAGGAACAACTTAGTTACTATTATTACTGGAAGTTTGCCAATATCATCATTGATCCCTTACCATGGGTCAAAAAGATGTTCTTGGATGATAGGTTTCTTAATGTCAAAGCACGTATTTTGTGATTTCATGATCTTGATGATGTTGGAAGATCATAAAGGCTAATTGAACTATTGGGATTGGATGCGAGATGACTGATTTCATATCTTCTGTGGGTGGAGATATTAACACAAGGGTTTTCCCCGAGCTGTGTAGAATTCTCTCCACTTCTTACGACGACTGCATTCCATATGAGTAGTTGAGAAGGATCGAGTCAAAAAGGATTTGTTGCGCAGTTGGATTTTCTGTTTCCTTTTTTTCTATCTTTTGTGTGGTTTGTTCTTTGGACGATGGATCCATAACGGAATCCAGGCATCCGACGGTTTGGATCTTATGTAAATGAATACTTTTCTTGTCTTTCCGTCATCCACGTACCCGCCGAGTTCCCTCGTGTGATTAGAGAGAGAAAAGGGAGGTGGGTCCCGGTTGCATCTCGGAGCAAGATGCGGGTACAGAGAGCGGGTAATCAAGAGCTTTGGATCCAAAAAAATAGCGAGCGGAAGACAAATAGTACAAAAGAAAAATAACGCCCCCGAGGCGGTCGTGGAATAATAACCAACCCAAATCGTAGCTCATCCTCTCATCTATCACCCCCTTCAACCCGTAAGTGGCCCGCAGGTCCCCTCCCCTCAATGGCCGCTTCCTCCACCGCCACCGCCACCGTGTTGGAGCCTGGTGAGAGCGCAACCTCCACCCATACCGAGCATTGGCAACCCAAGCTCCACTTGCCCTCCTCCCAGCTCTCCCTCGTCCCACCCTCAGCCCACCACCTCCGGCGCAGGCGCCGACGACCGGCTCGAGTCCTCCGCCTCTTCCACTCCTTCTGCCGCACCCTCCCCATCTTCACCCCCAAGTGCAAGCTTCCCGATCCCTGTCGCATCGCCACCTCCTCCCCCGCAGTCATGCCCACCATCGCCTGCACCCCTGCCACCTCCCTCATCGGCCCCGACCACCGTGGCCGCCGCCACCACGACCTCATCACCGGCACCATCTTCGGCTACCGCAACGGCCGCGTGTCCTTCTCCCTCCAGGAGAACCCCCGGTGCCTGCCCTCCCTCGTCATCGAGCTGGCCATGCACACGCATGCTCTTCTACGTGAGATGAGCGCCGGCATGGTACGCATTGCCCTCGAGTGCGAGAAGAGGCCAGTGGAGCACAGCAAGGAAAGCAACTCGCAGTTATCGTCGAATCTCATGGACGAGCCACTCTGGGCCATGTTCTGCAACGGGAAGAAGAGCGGGTACTGCGTACGGCGAGAGGCCTCGGAGGAGGACCTGTCGGTGATGGAAACGCTGCGGCCGGTGTCCATGGGGGCCGGCGTGCTACCGGGAAGGTCCGAGGAGGAGGGTCCCGATGGGGAGATAGCGTACGTCAGGGCCGGGTTCGAGCACGTCGTCGGGTCGACAGACTCCGAAACGCTGTACATGATGAGCCCCGACGACTATAACGGTCCCGATCTCACCATCTTCTTCGTTAGATTGTGACCGGGCTCAGGTCACATATGTTGTCTACTGTTATATATTTGTATATTTACGTGTGTGCATAATATATACAAGGCGAGTGGATTTGTTAGAGCTATGTCTTTTACGTTATATTAGTCTCCTTCATTCCTTATATTTGTAGTCCATAGTCGTCTTTGGTTTTATAATTTCATCTTTCTTCTAATCCAACTATCTATGGTCTCATGAAAGGCATCCAAATGCAGGTTGTTAGATTGACTTGATAAGATCATGAAATATGGTGCATAAAAAATGAAAAGGCATAAAAAAGAAAACACGCTTTTGAACTTTGTACATGTTGGATTACATGTACAGAAAATTGGCTCGCGATCGATACAACTTAAGTTTTTGTACTACATTGATATTTAGTTTTCATGTATCATAGATTGATGAGATTAGTTCAGATTCATGATTAATAAAACAGTTTCCACCACCTCATCCCACTCTTCATGTCTGACTTGGCCATGGAAAGCATTTCCGAAAAGTTGGTACAGGTCCGCTTTTGGTCGTTCTTGACAGAACATGACTTTTGTCGGGAAGCTGCTGTCAGCAGACAAGATCTTTCGGTGGCCGGCCTCAGAGTAAGGGCTCTGAGATGGGCCTCCATGCTGCATGCTAGAATAGTAACCCATGCACGTGGCCTCCACCTGAATCCGATACCTGTTGCCCTAAAAATCATACTATATAAATTCAACCTGGGAGCAACATCATCAGAACGCTTCTTCTTCTTCTTCTTCTTCTTCTTCCTTCTATCGCAGACTACACGCAGATTCCACGATGGACAATTGCAACTACATGGTCGAAGACATCAAAGGTGGAAGCCACGGCAACTCTCAGGGAGAAGGTAGGCAGAGAGAGAGAGAGAGAGAGAGAGAGTGAGAGACCATTCATGTTCTAAAGGTTCAAGAGAATACTTTTCAGGTTGTGAGGACGAAGAGAAGCTGAAGTTTTTATACCTCTTCAGGTAAATGTACATATATCAGTCATAGCCCATTGACATTTTCTCCATTAAAGAGTGATCATTCTTTGGCTTCAGGTCAGGAAGATTCAAGTAACACCAGCGAGGGGGCCAAGTTACCTTGCGAAGGCACCTCCTCCCCCTCCTTCTCAAATCTACTAGAGGAGTATATGGAAAATGGGTCATGTTGTGAGCAGCTTCTTTACCTTTTTTGTGTCTCCTGTAAGCTTCTTCGCTAGAATGTCTCCGGTGTGCAACGTTGGCGACGTCTATACTTCTTTTTACAGGGGGAACAGACTCTCTATATATACTACTTGTGAAATGCTTTACTGTAAATATCTGACATTAATAGTTAGCAACTAAGCAGCAAGCAGTCTCTCCTTTCAAGTAATCTATATGTCGAAGACATAAGAATCAAGCAGTAATGATTTAATATGATACGAAAATGTAAAAAGAAATCCCTTAACAAAATGAACCAATTAGACTCAGAAATATATTATAAATAATAAAAAATGTCACTGCTCACGTTAGAATTGACCCATTTAAATTTTGTATGCATTTATGACAAATGATGGACTTTTGGTCTCCAGAGTTTAATATTCTTTGAATTCTCGACTGGTTGCCGGATTTAAAGGCCATTGAAAAACAGAGCCAGGTTGCGTCTCCGGCGTTCTCTCTTTGCTTGGAACAGCTTGTTCCCGTTGCCATCTCTCAAAGCACGTCGAAGATTCCAGACGCAAGTATGTCCAATGATCTTGGCCTTTCGATCCCAATCGGACGGCAGATGGGACGCCTTGGGCGAAAGGAACTGTTGCGCTAGGTAGAATGGCCACGACACCGGAATTGTCACCTTTTCTTCGAATGTCTCGAGCGAAGTAAACGTGGGCTCCTGCAAAACCGCGAACGCGACAAGTCAAGGAATCAGCGATCTGATCACCGCTTCGGGTGCTGATCGCGTCCGTCTGGTTTGGGTTAACATGAACCAGGCATGCGACGAACCTAACCATAATTTTGGAGTTTAGCGTGAGATTTGATTCGATAGAGTTGATTGGATTGAGCCTAAACTAAACCAAATCAAACTCGAATCAAATCATACTGCGAGATGAGTAAGCTCACCGACGAATGCTTGCATCTCAGAAACGTCAAACAATACCACGATAAAGAATTAGGGTCGCCAAAAGGAGCGGAATCTGAAGAGCCATCCCTCATCCCGTTCCAACTTCCTCCTCCGGATATGGCCATCGCTGGGGCCGCGAGGGCGATCGTATGCGACCTGGGCCAGCAGAGGAAGGATTCTCCGCTGCCACCGCCGGTGCTGAGGGTCCGTCTGGCGGAGCCATCGGCGGAGAGCGGAAAAATCCTGCTCCAGCCCCGGCTCTGCACGCTGAGATCGTACGGGACGCGTGAAGGCGGAGTGATGAGGAGAACGTCGGTGGGGGACGCGTCGTCCTTCTTCGCGTCCCTCGCCGACTATATCGAGAGCTCGCGCAAGAGCTACCACTTCGAGATCGTCTCCGGTCGCCTCGCCATGGTTACTCCTCAAACCTTGAATTTCCCTTTTTTATGCGAATATTTTTCATTTGAAATACCCGAATATCTTTCGATTATGAGTTTGCGTATACTACACTTTGGATCCATGCTTCGAAACCATTGTAAACTTGGGAATCCCACAGTTGTTGAGAGCGGAGTCGATTGGGTCATAGTCCACTGAACGGCAAACGAAACACCTGTTCCCTTGATTATGTTATGGCGGACACTGCGGCCTCCGGCTGAGCTGTTCTTTGTGGACTTTCCTGCTAGGTTGCGTTTGCGGCTGCAGTCTCCGTGGAGGTGGTAACGGGCAACTCCATCTTCAAGAAGCTGGACTTGCAGCAGATAGCCGAGGCCGCGGGGGTGTGCGTGGCGGTCGTGGCTTGTGCCGCCACCTTCGCTTGGTTCTCGAGTGCTCGGACCAGGATCGGTCAGATGATCACCCTGGGATGCAACAGCTTCGTCGACGCTCTCATCGACAACATCGTGGAAGCCCTGTTCTACGACAGCGAGCTGAGTGACTGGTCCGATGAGATATAGCTGTGTTAGTAGTGATTACAGATACGTACGTAAAAAGTACGTGATACCGGAGCAGTAAATAGCAAATTGCTCTGTTATGCACGCAGAAAGTCTGCAAGAGTTTGTAGCAAAGAGGATGCCACCATGGGGAAGTGGCGATACTGGGAGTATTAGCGTAGCAGATTACCACCGCGGAATTCTAGTGGTATTGGTAGCGAATCTTGTATAAAAAAAGAAGAACGTCTAATAGCACAGATTAACAATATTGTACTTTCTTGAGCTTTGTGAGGAATCCTCTGCTATTGGCATTGGGAGACACGCTTAGCTCCTAGTGGAAATTGTATTCTCGTGATATTGAAGATCTTACGAGTATGTTTATATGGATACAGGTTTGAAATGAATACTGGGGGAAGCCGCAGTGCAATCGGATCAGAAAATGAAGTAAACCAGAAAGAAAGAAAGAAATGAGAGAAATTATGATTGCAAGAATATACGGTTCTTTGTTCTTTTTCCCCATCTCTCTGACATCTCTTATGGATAGATGCTCTCCAGCTTCACGTCCTTGACAGGGATTTGCTTTTGGCCTTTCTAATTTTATTTTCTTAAGAATTGGGAAATCCTTTTACCTTCAGAAACAAAATTATTGTGAACAAAAGTCGCCATAGGTCAATGGAAGCAATCAACGTTTCAGAACATATATAGTCTATATTTTACTTGATTATAGAAAGAGGATGAAAAGTCAAAGGAAAAGTTGATTCCCACCCGATCCTTCTTTGTTTACAAGATCAAAGTACTTATGTTACAAGATCAATGGATTCCTTCAAAGTCGTCGATCCTTCTTTGTAAACCTTCATGAGGTTTGCATGGGTTGATCGTTCCACAGTTCCACTGAAAAGAGATACAGCCTCTAATCGAAGCTACCTGTCTTTTCTCTCTCCTGGATATCTCTTTTAGCTTTGTGTTTGGAGGAAGAAGGATCAGCTCTCTAGTGAAATGTCGATGATATTATCAACAGCCTTGAGATTGCTCGAGAAGACCTTAATGGGGAGCCAGCGTAAATTGAACGGTTTGGGGTGCAGGTGATCGAAGATGATCGCAACTATAGGCTACTCCGCTCAAGATTCAGACCATCATCAGCACAGCCGAGAATATGTGGATCAAAGATGAAACAGGACGTGAAGGAATTGCTGATGCAACTCAAGGACACCGCTTATGATGCCGATGACTTACTGCACGAGTTCCGGTACCAAATTCTGCGATGGTCCCGAGTCCCGACGACCAGCATACAGAGCTGGAGCTTCTTGGTAGAAAGATCGTCGGCAAGTTGAAGGGCTGTCCACTTGCAGCAAAACCCCTCGGAATCTTTGTTGTCATCAGTCGTGAACGAAGACAAACAAGCTTTTGCCTGTGCTGCGGCTGAGCTATCAGTGCCTTGACAAGTGTTCAGCTTTTTGATCCGTGTTTCCCAAAGATTTCGGCGATCCAGATCTGGACGGCAGAAGGCTTCATGAGATTGGTGTCCCATTTGCGGCTGATACAAAGGCTCTTCCATCTGCGGCTGTCAATGTCGCACTTCTCTAAGTTTGCAGATTCTCGATACACAGATCCAAATCTTAAAACATCTTGATCTGACAAAAGAACGACAAGCATGAAATCAGTAGCTATTTTATCGGGAATCGTCTTCTGTGTTGTCTGTTTAATTCACATCGTTATCTTATCTCCTCTACCCAACAAGCGACTTGTGGGATTAGTCTACACGGTTCTTTCATTTTTATTCTCGAACGAGATTAGTGATGAAAGGTTACCTCATCTCTTCGTCGCTCAGCAGCAGAATGAATTTGGTAGCGGAACTCGTCCAGCAAATCGCAAGCATCATAAGCGACGTCCTTGAATTGCATCAGTAATTACTCCAGGCTCCCTTTCATCTTCTCATCTTTGATCAACATATTTCCGGCTGTGCTGATGATGAGCTTCGTCTCGACAAAAAAGAAGTCTTTAGCGGGCGTAGATCAGATCCAACTCGTTGCTGTTCCCCATAGGACTGCATAATCGCAGGCCTTCTCAACCAGGCTCCCAACATCTCGACCACATCTCAGCGAAGGACTTACCCTTTCTCCAGCACAGAGGGGAAAGAGATCTCAATAAGAAGAGGCTTGCAGAGGCAAAAACTTCATCGCCACAGATCGCGGTAGGTAGCTTCAATTATTGGAGACTGGCCCTCTATTATTAGCTGTATCGTGCCAGTCTCCACATGCAAGACCTGTGCACACCGAAAATTCACAGACTTTTGGCACCCAGTGGAAATGATCTTTCTTGTTGCCAGTAGGGATTCTTGTGGGTTAATTAGCCTCGATCAATGGAGGACCGGAGAAGAAACAACAGCAAGTGACTCAGATGTAGGAAGGAGATTGTATCTTGTCTCCTATGGTAGATCATCCCTCTTCTCTCCTTTAGGGGATCATCATCTCCCAGTCTTAATGGTCTGTGATAGAATAGAGAATGAAGAGTAAAGAAAAAAAAAACATCAATTAGTGTCATATGATGTCTATTTATACATGATGAAAGAGAGGATTTTTTTCAATTGAGCAACGAAATAAATCTCTCTGTTATCATGCTCCCGCAAGATTGAGCTCCTGTCAAAGATACCGATTTTGAACCAATGCAACAAAAATAATTTGTGGGTTAGAGGTTTCGTGAGTGAGTCTGCTAATTGATCAACCGTATGTATACGAGAGATACGAAGTTGATGTTTGACAACTTGATGAAGTAAAAATCGATGAAAACATGTTTCATGTGTTACTACAAAGAGTTACTAAATTATATTAATATTACATTGACAATCTAATATATTTTTATTTATTGATCTCATTGATATTTTTTGTTATCCCTTCCAATAGAATTAGATACGAAGGCAAACTGTTGTCCAAAAGAGTGTTTACAAAACATCTCTTTTGTCCATCTGGTATGGAACCTGATAAGAAATAAGAATTCTTATTATTTAACAGGATGAAGATTATTACGAACAGATCCAAATCAAAATTAGACTTACAGTATTGAGCTTACGAATAGCAATTAGGAGCATGAACTGATGGAAGCAGTGCCGAGTCTACAGTGCCCATAATGTGCACATCATATCCGACTTTGACTTTGTTAACAGATGAAAGCGGCCGTCATCACTGCAGATAGCAATCGCAACAAAGAAGTCACGCGTGTTTTTGGTCTTTGTGATTGAATTGCGACAGCAAAGGGCTGTTTTATCGTGATAGTTATCACTTAAGGAAGGAGTGGACTATCTAAAAAACCTAAAGCTGCTTTGATCCATCCCATATGGCAAAATGTAGCTGCCTTTAAAGCTTAATTTTGTTTTTTTGCATTGACAAATAATTAAAACTTTCTCTTTATTAACATAAAAATCCTTAATCAGGATTAAACCTTCGCACTGAGTCTCTTCTTGCAGCTAATCCCCGCCACGCTATAGAAGCTAACTTGCAGTGACTCCTCATATGTCTTCAGAAATCTCCTATTCTGACACGCTTGTGCCGATGATCACAGACAGACCGACGGAGAATTAATGACCACAGTGACAACCACAATCACAGTGGTTGGAGGTTGGATTCATAAAGATGGGGGTTCTTTTCCTTTGTTTCGACACAAAGGACAATGTGTGATCATCTCGTAATGTTAACTGCGTCCGATTCCAGTCCACTGGTAATACTGGAGTTGGCATACCACACAACGCCCCAAATCTCTATTCCACAAGTCGTGACATTTCGTGGTGGCTCAAAGGCCACTCCATAAGTATCCTTTAAAAAAGTACAGGATATTCATGTGCTTGTTGAATAAGACGGCGAAGACTGAAACAGCACCGGAAGAAGATGCGAGGCACGTTACAGGGAAGGGGTAGAACCGTAAAATAGCTGAAATAGTTAGATTGGGCGTCACACGGCGTTCGCACGGTGTTATTACCGTGTCGGCATCGGCTGCGACCCACCACCAACATGACCGTCGCCGACCCCGTTGGGCGCCGCCCGGGCCCGTTGCTGACCTGGCTCCCGCCTTCGTCATTACGTATGACTTCTACGCGCCATCTGAGGGTGGCATCTTTTTCTATGTTAGATTTGATCTCTTAATTTGTGCTTCGAGCCTCAGCCATGCTATCAAAAGTAGCATTCTCTTGTTCTTCCGCCTCTATAAAAGGTGTTGCTACCTCTTAATATCCATGTTCTGAAATATAAAGTTATCAGACAAGAAAAGGGAGGAGGAGATGGGGAACTGTATCGACTTGCAGAAGCCAGTCACTTGGGTTGACGATGATGACTACTGGGGAGCCTTTGAGCACAAGAGCTCCGGATGTCGAGCAAAGCAGCAGGACGAAGCCAAGCTTTTCTTGGCACCCGCCGCGAAGGAGGAGGGAGAAGCCGGTTCTACTGAGATCAAGATCAAGATCAAGATCAGCAAGAAGCGACTGGAGGCGCTGCTACGACGTACCCAAGGCCAAGAACCGCCGCTTCAACAACTTCTTGCCGATCTCATGAGCATGGGCGAGTCTTGGGAGCGCCATGATCGAGAAACGCACTGGAGGCCGAGTCTACAAAGCATACCGGAGGCACCCGAGTGAAATATTAGAGATGAACATGGTCTTGATGATGGTGCAGACTTGTGTTGCATGTACGTGTATAGTAAATCTAGATGAGATGCCATGCTTTCATCCCCAATTCACCGTTTTGGAGTAGTGTGTAGGCTGTAAGTTAGATGATGCACAAAAATAAATAGGAGAAAGGGGCATGTCTGCTTTTATATATGTTTTGATTCTCTTTGCCTCGATCTCTCGTAGTATCAAACTAAAGAAAGATCAAAAAGCATGCTTCGGAATTTGTCATTCAGTCTAATTTTCTGGTGACACACTGCACAGTTTCACCATCCGGAAGAGTTGTTGGATGAAGCCAACTCCATGCTTTCTTGAAGGCTAAACTATTACTCTCATCTGGTTTCCTACTTTGCTGCTACGAAAATAGAGCTTTTGATTTGGAAATACAAAATCCAAGCAGGGATATATATGACTTGGATTTCTTGTTTCTTTAAACTTTAGGAGGAGATAGATAGATAGATAGATAGATAGTACTTTTAAACATGTTAATGCTATGTGGAACCATCCCTACGAAGTTGACTTTAGAATGTTGAAACTTTACCTACATGGAAGGGAATGAGTTAATAAGCAGATAATATATATTGTAGTATTATAACTAATAAATCGACATTATAATTAATTCATTGAAAGGGATTCGGAAATAATTAAAAATAAATTAAATCAAATCCTTTGTTAATTCATTGAGAAAGATTTTGAAGGAAAAAAAAAGAAAATAAATCCTTCGATTGAGATTCATTATGGTCCACGTACAGAGATTTGTAGCCATTTGTCCAAAATTAAAAGCCAATGAAGTTATGCCACCGACACGCCAAACATTAGAAATATTAATTAAAAAATGATGATCTCGGATGGCTTATGACAAATCTAAATAGAACTATATTTTCGTGAGTAATAAAAAATATTAATCTTTGTATTGGGTATTATTGGAATGATATGTATATATGGTCATTTTCACATGTATAGGAAGAGAAATGTTGGAATGTTTTGATATATATATATATATATAAGCATTTTTGTGTGTATAGGAAAATAAATGAGATAGTCAATTGATTGACCAAATACATTAAATACTCATATGATCATCTTTTTTTTAAAGGGTGGAATGGCCTTCTCAATTAGACTTATTTGATATACTTTGATGTTAGAAGTATCTTTTGTAATAGTTTGATATAGCCTTTATTCTTTTATTTCTATTTAGGAAATTTTGAACCTTACATGATACATCAAAAAAAAAAACCACAAAATCAAAACATGGAATAGAAATAAAATTACGCTGCCATTGTTACATTATTACTTTGGCAATGTGACACTCAACAAATTGTCCTAAGAAGCGGTACCAGAGGAGAGAGAATGATGAATGCGGAGGCTAGTACATTAGAAATGTACATTAAGCCTTCAATGCATACTTTAAATATAAATAAATATTTAATTTTTTTTAATTATACTTGACCTGAATGTTATATTGAAAATACTAAAATATTGATGCTATATTAGGATAATATTGACAATTAAGCATTAGCAAGATATTAATATAATTTTTTAAATTTCGAAAGTATCTCATAACTTTATCTAAAATTATAAGATTGTCAAAATAATTTAGTGAGAAATCAATATGATTTATATTTTTATAAAATAAAATTTTATTTATTTATTTTTAAAAATTATCTTGTATATATTTATTATATATTTGGGCCATACAAATTTTGTTTTATCATATTACATACATTTATTTATTTACCTATTAATTTAAATAAAAAAATATATATTCACTTTTGCATAAATGTTAAGAATATTAGAAGGGTAAACTTATAAAAATATTATTGGACTTTTAAAATATAATTTTACCAAATAAAACTTACATCATTATAGATTTAAAATATAATTTTCATTATTGTTTATCGAGCACTTAAAACATTTCACAATTGTTCATTCATACAAATATTTTTCTTCATATGCACATTAAAAATATAATTATATATTTTAAAAAACAACTTTAGGCACCACAAGTTGATTTGACTATTTTATTTTTCTCGGTGAATGCTTGGATGCATCAATGAGTTGAGAACTTTCTATACATAAGATATTTAATGACCCAGTCACAGGATTATAATCAAAGAGTCAAACGGAAGGGAAGAAGGAAAGCCAAAATGGAACAACAGAGAATAGGTGTGGAAGGGTTGAGCTTCGTTTAGGCATTCTAATCGTAGAATAATTGATGGTTTTTCTCAAGGAATACGTCAGAAGATTTCACCTTCCCAGCCTAGGATCGATTTGATTATGCGTTACAGATGCTGCTGGGGATTCTTCTTGTCTTCTAATTAAAAGAAAGCTTCAGAAATGAACAATCTGGATGTCTGTCAAACCCAACATTTAAGACGATGATATATTTATTATTTGTTTATGTTTGATGTCTTCTATCTTCTGACCTCATCTTGAGCAAGCTGTGAAGCATATTTGATCCGAAGAAGAAAACGTATAAGACTCTCAATAGAAGAGCTCGTAAAGAAATGTCTAATGATTTCGGTGGACGACTACTATGGTTGGTTGTGAAACACCCATCTGGTTTTGCCATAAAGCCTCTATGAAAGGTTTCATGCTACTGCGTCATCGCTGAACAAAATACGGTAGAAGCCGTAGACGCTATAACTTGGACATATCACATCATTATAAATGGGGCCCC